AGTGGGAGAACTTGCACAATTGGTGGCTGACTAAATACTTTTTTGCCCCACTGTAATTACTCAACGATTGCAGCCATTTGCTTGGAAAGGGTTTGAGAAAATAAGCAAAATAATTACAAAAGTGATATCTAGCCTTTCAACATCTCTGAGAACAAAAAGTTGGGACAGAACAATGATATGCCAATTTACTTAACTTGGATTGCTCTCATTGCTTACTGATCTCTACCTGAATTGTTTAGTACTCCCAGGGGAATGTGCTGCTGTTTGCAGAGCTTCTCTTACTATGATGATACCTTGAACTCACCTTGTACAGAACAGAATCAGCGGATCCCTATTTAGACTTCTTTACAGCAACTGTACTTAGGTTCAACAGATTATTGTTATTGTGGTTAATCAGTTTCCAGCTGTGCTAAATGTTGCAAAATATTAACTTGGAATTTGAGTGAAGGCAGCTGGCTTCATGGGCGGGGCGAGGGGGAATCAGAACAGGAAGGACTTCTCTAGATAAAGCCCCCCCTTTTTTTTTTTTGCTTCAGGGAAGATTGCATTATTCCAGTTTCAGCAGCCAAGTTTCCCATCCCATGCACAGTTGATACCTTCATTTAGTATCCATGGGAAGCAAGACACAAAGCAAACCGGTAGTCCATGTAACTCAGTGTTCTCATCTACACTGACTTGCAGTATTTATGACACTTCTAGTCAGGAGCTTTTACTAGATTATTTCAACAGGAGACACCTGGATCTGAATGAGCAATAAAATGAGTTTTATACGCAAAGGAGGTCTCTGTTGAACTTGACTGAAGTGTCTGCAAAATTCTGCAAAGTTTGGTTTCATGTTTGAAAAAAGGAGTCCACAAATCTTAGAGCTGCAGAATTGTGAATGTGTGTTGACATGAATGCATTTTTTTTTAATTTTATTTTTTTGTCTTCCAGCAAGAACTGGATGACTTACATCCTCTCTTAAGGCTAAGCTATTTTGTGATGACAGCACTGCAAGGACTATTCCAGAATCAGCTCATGATTTGTATTTTCAGAATGATGTACTTTGTAGCCATTATTAACACATAAATCTTCATTACCAATCAAGAAATGGCAGTTATATTAATTACTGCTCTTGTAACAATAAATCTCTCCAGGAACCATTAAAAAAACCCACCTTGTTGCAACTTGCCAGAATTCTTGATTATAACACTGCAGAGGGTGACGGATTTATAACAAATAAAGGCTACAAAATCAAGCTCAGTCATGAACACAAAGCCAAACTAGTGTGTAGTTGTTCTTGGCTAATTTTGAAAGCCAAGCAAGGTTCAACATACCACATAGATGGGGGACCACCATCTTGGAAGAAGGCAGTACAGATAGTCCTTGACTTAGGACCATTTGTTTAGTTGTTCATTGTTCATTTGAAAATGATCCAAAGCTACATATTTGTGCATAGCAAAATATGTGAACCTTTGTTTTCAGTAACTGGTGTGCAGTTACTGAATGGTGGTATTAAGAGCAAAATGGGTGCCTTCACCTCTGCACAAGCATAAGGCATC